CAACAGTTCCAGAGGGTATTCATTGAAAAAAAATCTGCATCCTGGCATCAGGACGCATTGTTGCCAACGTGTTAATGAACATCCGGACAAACTTCCATGCTTCCGACAAGACGTTATTATTTCCGCATTAAAAAAGCTAGGCATGTCGCATTACTCGATATTTAAAAATTGTTTTGTAGTTTTCATTTGGAAAGGGCATGATTAATAAGTAAACAGTTCTTCTAGAATTCGACTATCTTTTCACTTGTGCAAAGTGTATCACATTTTTGGAATAATGTTCAGTGTTTTAGTAAGGGAAGTACGCCTTTGTGCCATTCATCATCGTCAACGATTAGTAGATTGCATTCTGAATTAATATGTGAGCATCCTTAATTGGCTAGAATAGGAAAATGCCATTTGCTGAAATATACTTTGGGGATGAGGTATGTATGTTGTCTTCAACACTCATTTCTGTCTACATCGATTTTTTCATATACAAGATGATTCAAAAAGGTGTACCAATGATAATGCATTTCCCAAACCAAATACACTTAAATTTGGCATTTTAAACTAGTTACCATGCTCACTGTTGTCCTAAAGTTCTTGTACGCAACGTCACACCTCAACATGACCAGCTGCACTTCATCACACAATCTAATGCATCGAGATATATCATTCCAAGTTTTAGGCAGCATGTCGGAGGTGATAGTGAAAGAGAAGCCCATACATTCGATCATGCATGATGCACCTTGATGAGGACGACAAGGATAACTCTGCTTCTCAGCAGGCTGGTGCTCCTCCACATTGGTTCATTGATGTATAAATATAACCTCGAGGAGATCTTCAGCAACAACTGGTGTGGCCAAGGAGGACGAATACTGTGGCAACCTAACTCTCCGGATCTAACGCCAGCATACTTTTTCTTCTGGGGGACATGCAAAAGACAGGGTATACATTTCTGGACATGCTCATTTGGTCAGCTTCAAAGAGAAAATCCTCCCAGCAGTGGCCACTATCACCCCCCAGAAACTTGCTAAAACTTGGAATGAACTATCCCTTCGGATCAGGTTGTGTCGTGAACCTGCAGGTGGTCCTGTTGAGGTGTGACGTTGCACACGGAAATCTCAGAACAATTGTATGCATGATACCAAGATTTAAGCCCCTAAACTTGGAATGAACTATCCCTTCGGATCAGGTTGTGTCGTGAACCTGCAGGTGGTCCTGTTGAGGTGTGACGTTGCACACGGAAATCTCAGAACAATTGTATGCATGATACCAAGATTTAAGCCCCAAACTTAGGTATTTAATTTTCACAGTTATTCATTTCTAGATACACCTTTTTGGATCACCCTGTAGAATAAAATATAATTTCCACTGCATGGGTTATGAACATTCCTTACTTTATGTTTTGCATATTGCCTGATTGAGAGAACTAGGGCGGTAATAAATTCAGAACCATCACTGACCAGTATTTTCTGGAAAGGAATCGAAAATAAATCCTCAACAAGATGGGTTCATCGTCCGAAGCGGCCTTCGCCGAAGAGGTCCTGCAGCTTCACAACGAGTATCGGGCATTGCATGGCTCTCCTCCGCTGACCCTCGACAAAGAGGCGAGTCCCCAAACCTACAGGAAGTTTCAAAAGTGTTCATTTCAGGAAATTATTAATTTCTCTTCCTATCCTTCTTGAAGTGAATAAAGAAATATTACGCCATCTGGAACTACATATTAAACGCCATAGTCTTTCCATCTACATCAGAACCATCGCTCCTTTCTTGTTTCAGGATCCTGTGATTGAAACGCTCTAGTTCATGATAATGATAACATTTCTATCGGTTGCTGATATGAAATTATTAGTAAAATTGGAACACATTAACATTTGATGGGATGAATGCTGCCTTTTGGCTTTTAATATCCCATGTCGAGAATCGATCGATTTGTATATATCGATTTCCAAGAGAGAGGATAATGGATATCATTCTCAATTGCACACATGATTTGAAAGTGCAAAATACTCAGGAATATGACAGTACAAATGAGTGGTGTTTTCCTTTTTAGGTCATGCGAACATAAAATAGAAAATGCTACAGAATTCGTTTAAACTGCAAATTCTCAGTATCGTGCAGCAATTGTAAAATTGAAGCTCATGTAAATGCCTAAAAAACAGCAATAACAAATTGAGATACGAGAAATGGACATACATTAACAGAAACATCGAATATGTTTAATAAACATGTTCATATCAGCGTATGGCATAGCAAAGATCATACCCCGTCCCATCTTTCTTTCAATTAGATGTAATCATAAGCATATTATTATCGTTACATTTATTCATAGATGTGCAAATACAGCCAATCATGGGCGCAGCAATTGGCACAATGGAAAGAACTGAAACACCGGCAAGGCGCAGGTCGAGATGAAGGGAAACAATACGGGGAAAATCTTTTTATGTACGGGTCAACGGGAGAAGCTCATGTCAAGCCCAAAGATGCTGTTGAATGTTGGTACAACGATATCCGGAACTACAATTTCAACTCTGCTGGCTGGTCACGCAATACTGGTCAGTGCTTTCGAGTTCTATTGCTTCAGAGAAAAACAATATATGGCGATGGCAATGCTTTCCTTGCAAATAGGCCACTTCACGCAGATGGTGTGGACAACAAGTCGTCGATTGGGGGTGGGGAGAGCCAAGACAAAAGATGGCAAGGCCTGGTACGTCGTCTGTAATTATGATCCACCAGGGAATTGCACTAGACGCTACGATGAGTTCGTACCACGGCCCATCGTTCAAACTGGGAAAAAAGTAGTTCATGACACAGCCCCCAGTCGCTCTAACGAAGTCGATGACGAGGCCGAGAACATTCGCCGTATGAAGATCGATGATGAGACCACCCCCCTTGGAGACTCTCACCATTCTCCAGATGAAGAATCAGATTTCGAGAGGGGGATGCTGAAACGACACAATCACCATCGGAAGAAACACGGATCGCCTCTCCTAATTTTGGATAAAGAGGTACGAAATACTGTGTATTAAAAAAAAATATGAGTTTTAACTGAAAGTATGTTTAGGTAGTCCTTCAAAATATGGTGCAGCCCCAATTTGAAACATGAAATATATACACATGACAAGTTTCTCGAAAATGGCGACTTCCTTAATAGAGATATGTCGGTTTTAGAGGTTGGTCTCTTGGCATACCCTGTTATTATTCAGTATTTAGCGATAATTCCTCATTTTCCAGATTGAAATATATAAATATCTTTCTCAAGGTAATGCGGTCAAAGTGGAATTACTATATATAAAAGGAAAAATACACAGTATTAATTATGTGAAGAGAAATTGAGTACATATAGTATTAAACAAAACAAATCGATAATTACACTAGGGAGTACCAGCCTTAGTACAGATTTACCATTCCAATGGCCCCATTACGGCTGGAATTTTCTTATTTGCCGCATCCTAGTCATCGAACCATAAAGTACATAATTTGGTTCGCTATTATTGGCTATCATTGGTACCCATAGGCTTTCATGAAAGATCTGGACAACTAGGCAAGTTGTCGATTGTCCACTCGTCCGCGTTGCGTGACTTGCATGAAGTGTAGGATGCCAGATACGGCATTTCACGCGTAGCCCTAGCACCCCTGTCTATTCGGCAGCGAGCAGCCGCTCTGTCCTATTGTCTACTACTGTATGAATTCATCATACGTGATGGTTGGAAGGGACAGAGATATTTCAGCGGAGGACGGACACCCTGACCCAAGCGGAAAGCCTGAAATGAGCAGTGAGTTGTGTTGTCCGGTCGCTATGGTTACTGCTTACTGAGGTAATACATAAATACTTAATAGAAACAGACCGACCGCAATTGCTGCCCATAATACCTCCGGGAATGACAGATAAGATCTGACTCTAGGTATCTTGACATCTTCATGCTCTTGTTTGAATGTTCACAATTCAGTTGAGCAGGCAGAGCCAAGAATGGGCAGAGACACTGGCAAAAGAGAACCGAGGGATGAAGCACCGTCCGCAAGAGAAATACGGCGCTTGCTTGTACCAAATCAGCGGCGATAGCTGTACCGTCATTCCGAAGGACGTAGTGGACTTCTGGTACAAGAAGATGAAAGATTTCGATTTTCAGAACCCCGAAGGAAATGCTGCCACAGGAGGTGCGTTACACGGATTATCAATCCAACCACTAATTCAGAATATATTGATTACCTTAAATAGACAAGATTGACAATTGGTACTGACTCTCACATTCCACGATAGGGACTCAAGTGATTTGGAAGGACTCACAGCGCTTGGGAGTGGGGAAGGCCTCGACGGAAGACGGAAAGACGTGGTTTATCGTGGCTTACTACGATCCGCCTGGAAACGTCACAGGAAGATTTGCTGGAAATGTCCTTCCTAGAAGAACTTCTTCCAGCTGAGACTAAAGGCGTCCGACCATGCTGTCGATTTATTATTCTGTTAAATGATTGATTTCTCAAATGACCTCATGAATTTCTCGATGGTGACTCCCTCAGATGTTTGGCAGCGGTTATAGTTTCTATACCTGGTTATGACCTGATAGCAAGCATACGTACATTATATCCCCTTCATGATAATTGAATTCTATTGCTACCGTTACGTACTCGGGCTGATGCAAAATCATTGGAAGTCGAGGAGGAACGGTAGGGAAACACTACACTGACATTCCCGGGATTTCATTTATGTATTAACATAGTACCTCACATTCTCCCCCACACTTTTGGCATCGGAATATCCAACCTTCAAACCCAAAGACGAAATATTGGTAGGGCTGTTTCATTGCGTGACATAGCGTGCAAATTCTACTTGCACAATAAATCGTTGGCTCAACAGCAATATTTGAAGTATTCTGATTCTGCCGATGTACTGAATATCACTCTATTGGTGTGATATTCAGTACATCAATACAATTTTTCGTCACTGAATGGGTATGCCGATGTTTTTGGATTACACGGAGAAATTAATGGTATATTCTAAGAACTTTGGCATAGTGTTTCCTTACCATTGGTTGAGGGTGGCACGCTGCTATCCAAAACCAATTCTTGCATATTGATATCTGAAGAGACGATACCGAATGATTTCCTCAGGAGTACATATGGGGAGCTCAATTTATCTCGTGTATGTGAGCTGTCTACCCATTCTTAGCAAAAAATATTAGCATTGTGCAACCATCCCATGACCGATTTAAGAGAGGGCTTAGCATTTTAATATTCCTCTGGGTCACTTCATCACTAATCTGGTGCTTGGAACGCATGTAATTAAACTATTCCATCCAGCATCTTTCCTCTATATCACAGAATAAGACTTAGAAACCGATATTGTGGAACAGGCCTAGGTCTTAATAGTCCCGATATCATTCATTCATTAGAATGTGATTAAGTCAAGTGCATATACCGTCATTATAAGTGCTTTAGTTTCTGTAATAATGCTGCTAGGATACTGGTGAATTTCGAAGTGAGGAGTGAAGTTGATATTTTCATTTTCATCCGATCTTTTTTAAATCGCAGGGAATAAAATCAGATTTGCATTTGGCTGTTTGAAGGTTCTTTCTCGCCTTAGGGTCCATTGCCGCAAATAATCGCACCCTGCGAATACTATGGGACCAGAATCGACCAGCAAGCACAGAGGAAGTAAATATCCGCCACTTGAGAATTTCCAAGGGCGCCACGAGCGCATAGTGTATCTCGGAAGAATATGGACGTCTAAATGCATTTAGCGAAAGATGAATAGATAAACCATAATTTCATCCTTGCAACTGATATTCAATACCGAACAAACTTGCATGCTAAATCAAATTTCAGTTCCGATGGTGACAATAAAAGCATGAATCCTACACATATTCCTCCGGCTATTTTGGGTAAAACGTGCGTCCAAGTAGTTAATATAAAATAAATGTAAAAATACGTTAATTGTCGTGAAAGTGATTCTTTCCACATGAAATAGAAGAAAAGAACAGGAAATTTTGGACTTGAATTGTCCACACCTACGGGGAAAAAATGTCAAGGCAAATCCAAGTTCCACCATATGAATAATTCTTGCTCGTGGGTCCAAGCATAAATCTCTTGGAACCATAAGAGGGAAGCCTTGACAAGCCAGGCTTGCATGTTCTCTAAGTTTGATATACATATTGGAGTCTTCCTGAAACGTTGTTCGCATATGAAGCGCAAATAAATAGTTGACATTGGAATGAACACATTACACTGAAAGAAGGTGCCCATATTACCACGAAAGGCACTGTCAACAATGCCTAGCAATCATGAAATTATAACGGGGTTTTCGACTGAATCGCAACACATGCAGTCCTCTTCACGTATGCCAGTCATCTTTATGTGGTCATCGAAGTAAGGCCATGCAGGCTGATGAAAAACAAGACCAAAATAATTCATAAAAAATATTTCAAATGAAAGGGAAGACCGTGTCGCTTAAAAACCCATTACAAAAACGTCAAGTTTCGCTGCAAAGCTTTTAACGGACGCCTGCCACCACTGTGCAAGGTTTTATTCGCATGCCGTAACAGTTATGTTGATGGAGAGGTAAGTATTCGTTCCAGCCTTCAACAACCGTTAATGCAGAACCTTGAGAACTTTTATAGCTTTTCTATGACAAATATGGACGTAAATAATTCAAATGCGACAAGGAATGTCAAATGTGTCACTCTGCTGGATGCCAGACATAAGGGAAAAGCATGTTCGACATGAGAAAGTCAAATTTAACAGTCGAATTTCTCAGTCGTGCCAGGAAACTTGTACTCTCTCGGATTTTAATTATTCTTACGTCTATTTATGAAAATTCACGAATTATTACTCATTATACTAGCAATCTTTTCATGTCAGATTATGAATAATGGAAGTTAGCCAAGAAGGTCGATATGTTGTCATTATCAGAGTAGGCCCTTGGATTATGTCATCAAAAAATTGCGGAAGGAGCAGATTTGGGCATCACAAGAAATGCAAATGCTAAGTCAATGCTTAATGCTGCTCCTTGACCTATAGGTATAAGTCTAACCCGCAAGTCAAAGCACAACAGCAAAGCATATGTTATACTTAACGTAAGCAAACGCGTATTATGGACATCGTGCGAGGCTCAGTATTGGTAATTGAACCAAATGAGGATATGACTCTAAACAATTATATATTTCGAATTATATGAAAAACCGAATATGCATCGAGGCTCTATTTCCTGTTTGAAAAAAAAAATTATTGAAACAGTAGTGCTGGGGACCCTTCTTTAGAATGCCTCCAGTACATTAAAAAAATCTCACAGGTGGATAAGAATCGCCTGATACATTCACACGAAAGCGGTGATAATACCTGTCATTGTCGTCTATACTTGGGATCAATAGAACAGCTGCTCATCTTAATATTGTGTCTATGGCAATGTCTTGGATTCTCGTGACTTTGCGCTCCATATTACGCTACAACGGGGACACTTATGCTTGGCTCAGTTCTATCATAGACCTTTAACCCCTTAGTTTTGTAATCTTCAGTTATTTAAATAAAAATTTAATATATAATATATGATATGATATGGTAAATTTATTAACGAAAAACATGAAAAGTACATGTAAACACGAAAATTTCAATTAAAATAATGAAAAAGCTGAAAAATGCAAAAAAAGGAGGTTATTCCGATGGCGGCCTTAATTCAGGTATGAAATGGTTAAAACTTCGTCGTATGTGTCTGTTAGAGCTCTAGCATTCTTACTGCTGGATATATAGCGCAAAAATTGTGTACACTGAATCCTTAGTGTCCAAGGATATGGCCTTCTCATGCACCAAAAGTTGATCCAACGTACCTTTTATTATATTTTCGTTAGGAGCTCAATTTTGCACAAGGAGAAAAAAAATGGACATCAAGGTTTATGACGTCATGGATGCCATTGCATATATATCGACTATGAAAATGATAATGACCATAGGCTGGATCCAATCGGTGCATGAGGTCTAGGGTTTTAAGCAAAATAATGAGATATGAAATAATAGAGGCGCTACCCTGGCATCTGGCATTTACTCGGATACACAATGCTTCCAGGGGAGAAGAGTGATGGCGAATAAATCACCGTCTGTTTGAGTCATCCCCGGCGAGTGTTAGTACTACTCGAGGATTACGCTGCATGAGTTTCGGGGAGATAACAGAAAGTGCTTTCCGCCCTGTGAAGGTGACTTTTTGTCGCAAACTTCCTGGCGGTATTTTCACAGGTAACACGCGTTTCGGGTTCGCGAAACCATTATGTAGGCAACAAAATAGTGCATTCTAACTAGATATTTCGCTTTACTTAGAAATAGCTAATACATATTGAGGCACAAGTGCTAAAGGTCCTCGTTAATTTCGTAATGCCTTGTCATGAGCAAAAAATGAATGCATTCTCGGAAAGCATGGAGCACAAGAGCCCGGCAGAAACCCCAAATTCGATGAGAATGCAATTGCAAGAGGATGCCACTCGCATTGAATTGGTATCAAGGAGGACAAGTCATGTCGAGAATTCGGTTGTCACTTACTCTCACCAGGGCAGTAACAATACTAACAAGCGTTAATGAAGCCGATATTGGCGCCAGAGAGCATAATGCCGGCCTGTCGTCCGGTGTCCTCTTGAGAGTAGAAACTATCACTTTGCTACTCATAGCACTAATCAGATATGATCATTCTCTGCTGGAATTCGAAGGACTTAGAAAAGTACCCTCTCATACTAAAAAATCTATATTTTCAAACTTATTAACGATCTTCGTAACCCTTGGATTTTATTTTTCTACCTTAATGAATACGGAAAGTATAGAATAATGAAATTGAAACATTTTTCTGCGCCACCCTGTAGTATAAAGACACTCTTCAGTCTCAGCAGCTTTCTCTCACCATTTCGTCCAGTGGATTCTCGTTTTCTCACTGGGAAGAAAAAAGTTGCGTCCAAGGTGTGGCGGGTCCAATTCTTTCACTTCTTGAGCAAGTCCTCCTGAAGCCCGAGAGGGTCAATAGGATAAACGCGAACCAAAAAGCGCCAAACCTGAGCGGTGTCGAACAGGGATTATACGGAATCGGAAGGCAGGTCTAAGTGGAAAACAGCCAAGCAGAAATTATCTCGAGAAAGCATCCTTTCGATAAAAGAATGACGAAACGATGAATAACGCCGAACTGGGATACCACCGAAACGGAATGAGAGCGAAAGCAATGAACATCTCTGAATGTCAGAAAAAAAGTATGTGGCGAAAAAACGCCGACCCGGAATAATGCCGAAAATCCAAACCTGATTGTCAGCTTTGCTGTGGAAAACAGCTGCCGCATTAATACCAAAGATCATTTTACTCTGTCTCTTTGGAAACTTTCAACAAATGACAGAGTACTTCTCCCTGAAGAACAGAAACGGAAAGCGTTCAATCTAACTTCTCGAATACTTTAATTGAAAGAAGCCGAACGTTGTGGCGGGAGTCACCCCTAATGCACGAGGCTGGCGATGCGATGACATTCCAGGCCATAGGCCAGGCTATCCACAGCCTGAAGCGCCAGGCCTACAAAGCTCTGTCATTCTAGGCCATAGGCTAGGCTATAAAAAGTCAGTATACTTTTCATATACTTTTAAAAGGATCTCACTATACAATATGTTTCACAGAGGCAGCACCGCCCCTTCACAGCCTGAGCTATATAAGCTAGAACAAATTACTATGGAATCATTTTTCAATGTTGAGTCTCATGTAATTCCATTTCATTCTTTCAGAATTCAGATGATGGTAAAGAAATTAGCTTAATTGATCACATCCATGCTAAGTTTCGAGACGCTGGTAATGCCGGAACCGGTGATGCTGTGTTCATTTCACGTGATTCCTCTTCTGCGTGATGAAGCTCCATGCTTCAAGGCTTTGACCCTGCAGAAAGCGCTGGAAGACACTTCTTGATTTTTTGGAAATGTGGAATGGCCTGGAAAATCCCTGAATCTACATGCAGATGAGAACATACTAACGTATATCTTTAGATTCGAAAGTGAAAGCTCATCCTAAGGAGACATGAGCTTTTTTTTCTAGCCCTATAAGTTTCGGTACTGGAAGGGGGGGGGGCTTTCAAAGTGGAACGCCCGGTATGTTATCTGCCCCGAGTTCCTCTAGCAGCATATCTGAACCGTTAATCACGGGTTGGATATCTCTCAGAAGTGATGGGCATAGGGAAAATCTGGATTGGAAGATGAAGTCATGAGAAAGAACTTCTGCGTCTGAGTTTTTTCGTTATCTCTGCGATATCGACTACGGACTGGAGATAATGACATTGCTCCTCTGCTTCAATACCATATGCTTCCTTTTCTCAAAATTTTCGTTACGTCAGAGAATCACGGGAATGTGAAGTTCCTTTCCTTCTGTATGAATATATGCATTCAATAAAAGGTTGCTGGGGCGGTAATGATTGTAGCGAGAATAATCTCTGTAGTCTCAACATATGGTCCAGGTGGTCTTTAATAGCGTAGGGACGCTGTGAATGAACATTGTTCATGCTGTGAACCTTTGTAGTGGACTGTGGGTCACGTTATAGGAGAGCATTGTGGATCAAACTCGCTTTTGCCACCACTACAAGATTCATCAGCAGAATTGGAGGCGTTGGCTTTATCATTCCTGGTAGATGTCATCATCTACATGCTGATATACTTTACAGCTTCCTTGAATTTCGCCTTAGTCTGACGTCCTACCCCATACAATTCTGTGTTGAGTCTTGCCTTGGATCAAAGGGTCATCTATAGCTTTATATAAAACTACTAGTTAATCTATAATATACATGATTGGTTTCCAGCAAAAATGGCAAAGCTAGTCGTGAAAAGCAATGCATGAAACCGCCATATTTGTCTAGTCAGCCACGAATGAATAGAGATACGTAAAAGGCACTAGAAATATCAGGATATTCGCAACAGAAAATTCAGTATTTAAACCGGAATGGCTCTTCAGATTATCTGCACTACACTATCTACCCCGAAAGACGTCTGATGCAGGGGGTTGAGAGAGCAATCCATTCCAACGTCCTATCCTCAGGCTTGGAATCTTATCTCTGTGATAAGAAGGCAAGGGAACATGGGTCGCAGTTGGGATTGGGTATCAGTTGCGAGGCCCCGACAATTGCGCTGTGAGTGATCTTTCTGTGGGGCTTTAGTCTTTCAATATCGTAATTACCCTGTTGACAATCGTCGAAAATTGTCCCATTCTTCTGTTCTCACGTCTCACGTTTTTCACCAAATCGATTTAAAAGGAAATGTGGAGTGTAGTCACATGCGAATTTCCGGAGATATTATGGCCAATTTGCTTGGATATAGTTGAAAACATAATACACTACGCCTAGCCTACATTGTCAGCAATGTTTCTCCTGTATGCCTCTCTTGCAGGTGCGAAGTGGCATTATCGTTCCGGGTCTGTCATTTAAAAAGCATGAAACACAAAGTAATGGATGTCAACTAACCATGTCAATCGTGGTGAAACATTCAAGATCAAGATGAATATGATATCATTAACGCAGATGCTTTTTCGTGGAACATGTCTGCTATAAGATACTTTCTTTGATCATTCCTCAGTTCAAGGTGAAAATAATTTCAGGAACTAGGAGGGAAAATGTCGACAAGCGCTGTAAAAACTTCAGAAAGCAACCGGTGAGTCCTTTAAGCAGTCGCTAGTAGAAAAATTATTTTCGTGTAACTACCNGAAGCTAAAGAAAAATGCAATTTTATCTTTTTACTGTCTCCATTTCCTCTCGTCACATCATTACTTTTTTGACATTCATTTTATTCTCTCTTCCTAATTCCCATGTGACAACATGTTGACTCGAAATTCAATTGGGTCTCCCTCTGATGTATCCTTCAAAACTGCATGCTTATGAAGTCTTATGAAGCTTATGAATGAAAGTCAATATTGTAACATACCACTCCTCAGGTGCGATGATAAAGGAGAGCACAAGAAACAGACGTGAAGTTTTCCTTCATTTTCCTAACTTTGTCTCTTTCGCCGACTTGAAGAAAGTTGCAGACATTTCCATAAGGGAATAATTCGTTTCTACAGATCCGAGTTTTAGTAGTTTTATGCACTTCATGTGCTAAAATCGACCAATTTATGTTTCCCGAGTTTCTCTCCTTTAATGGATCAGGGTCTCTTCGGATCGCGGTGTGGCTACAGGTGTTTCTTCACTACAAGAAGTGCTCTCTTGCATTATACCGATTTTATCATGGGACGAAATTAGGCGGAAAATTGCCATTCACCTATTTCACGTGATGATCATAGAGAGTGCTTAATTAGGAAATGTATTCACGTTTTGCATACATAAGAATATGGAGGGTGGATTAGAGAAACGAAAACAAGGATATATCCCTGTTTTACTTTCCAGGGTAGTTTTACTAATATTATTCCCAGACACACGCTGAAAATATATGTATATGATGCAGTACTTACAACAATATTATTTTCAGCATTCTACCAGTACTCTAGCGATGACAAGTCAGCAATTCTCTAGAGTTGTGGGAAGAGCCAATGCATGTAATCTCTCGAACAACGAGATTGAAAATGCTATGCGCATTCGACGGAAAGAAGAAACTCGCAACGAATTCATTAAGCTAACATCTCTTGGTTTGGTTGTTTCCGAGTTTCAAAACTTATAAAATGCTACATTAATTTGCTTCCACTTCGTGTACCGTCTATTCATTCCATAAGTACAACACAACGTTACACACTTGTCAAAAAATGCTTAGTAAAATTGAAGAGGCCAAGATATTCTCATACATCTAGGATTTATAGGCACCGTTTTGAATGCCAATTTTTTTTTGCAGAACCAGTTCTTGACATTTCAAAAGGACTCAAATTTAGCTTGGCCAGTAAATGGTAATAATAATCAAACGAGTCTGAAATGCATGCGGATATATTGCCTTCAACACTTGAGTTAGTGGTACTTAAATAATTCTTCATTATAGTACATCATTGTTTAGCTGACTGAATTTCTGCTAGTACTCTTGTAGTACGCCTGCGCGCATCACGGAATAAATAACCTTCTTTATTTTCACACCATTATCTTGCAATGAAATTGGCAATGATGCCAGCAAATCTTTTTTGCAGTTTCTCGCCCATATTCATTTCATTTGCCCTTAATTTCTGATTTCAGGTCTCCCACACCCTCTTTGGATTGGATCAGACGGTTGAGAAATACTTTGTTTAATGAGAACATCTTGATAGATATGACAAACTTCGTCATCCAACTGAGTGGAGAAGACCTCATCTCATTGCCCCAGGAAGAGGATATCAGTAAGAAGCAGGAATATCGGTCCAAAATAGAGTACATATTCTCCATTCTCTTACGAAGAAATCCAGACGATACAAAAAAGAAATTACTCAAAGTTCTCGAAAGGATGAGAAGGGAGGACATCATACTCAGCATTGGTTGCAACTCTGGTATGTTTTTCGCCAATCATTCAATTAGCGCGTGTACAGATTGCCACAAAATGAATGCCTAGGCTCTCAGTATATTATGATTTTCATAAAAACCGAAGTTACTCCTATTAACGACAGGCATTTCAATTAATTATACAATTCGTAATCATCCCATTGAAATTGGAAAGAGCCTAAGCAATTTAAAAATGTCAACCTTTAGATGTAACTGCAGAATACTGATCACCTTGGTTACATATTTCTCACATCATCGAGGGCTCTCAGTAAAATAGTTGGGGAATAAGTTAACGATAAAACTAAGACAATGAACATTTATTTATACTATTTATATTAAAAAACAAATAAATGTAATTGTCTCAATTTTGGTGACTGACATTTATTGCTGACGTATAGCCTAAAATTTTCGATTCTTCCACTAATGCGGTCATGCCATGTATGTCACGGTATTTTTCGCTGTGATATACTGTATGGATGCAATTATTACCTTAACTACAGGAATCGACCCATTGCAGTGTATACGTGGAGTAATAAAAATATTCTAAACCATAGGCACTTTCACTTGTAATGCACCATTCCTACTGTTCTCATGAGATGACAGATGTGTCATATGGTGCCTAACAAAATGTAATCACATTTGCTTAGTAAATATAGTTTCTATGAATATTTTCTTCACTTTGCTACATAATTCATTTTGGAGTCAGAAAGGACTTCATGAAGGGGTATTAATATTGAAATGAATGAAAAACTCATAGTAAATTGAAACTCACCAGGAATTTAAACACCTAGACGCAGTGGAACAGCACCCATCGTAGCAACGTTTACTGAGCAATTGCGCACAATTTGAATCATGAAATGGACTGTAACTATTAAATTTAAATCAGAGATTAGGCACCGTACTCATGGAAAAGCTCGTTAGAAAGGCTATATGAGTAATTTGCGCTCTAGAAGCGAACTAGCTTTAGTTATTCGTTGTTCCGTGAACAACGGACACTGTTCCGTTCCGTTGTTTCTAGATTTGTGGAGTGGCAGGAAGGATCTTGTGAGGAATCGGGCATGGGGCACCCCCTAAGAAAATGGCACCTCTATTTTTCAAGCTTTGAAGAGTACTTACAAAGATAAGTCGGGGGGGGGGGGGGGGGTTCTCTCTTGGAAAACACTGATACGTCCTATGTCGGTGGGGCTACGGAAGATTACGAGGATGCAGGAGGATCCGAATGGGATTCAAAATGTTTTAGGAGTGCTCTTCGTTCAAGAACCGAACCCCGCATTCGGGTCGAACTCTTAACCCGCTTCATCGGATTTAGTTTTCGCAAGAGATTCGCGACAGAAGCAGCGCCAGATGATCTTAAAATTCCTGCAATTCATGGAAAACAATTATAGAAGATATCTTTAATAGACACAGGAGGAAAACATTTTGTGAATCACCATGAAATACAGGGTGGTTCACAATTGTCTCCCCAAATTAAGAGCTTATTACTCAGGAAGTACCCATCCGATTTCAATGATATTTGACTCAAACGATGGCCAGTTGAATTTTACTAAGGAAAACTCCAACATTCCATAAGAAACTTGAACAAAGTTACACATCAACAAACATAAAATTGAAATCGGATGTAAACTTCCAGAGTAATACGCTTTTACTTTTGGGGAGACAATTGTGGACATCGATCTTCTCATGAGAAGAACAATCTAATATTTATCGGCGATCGTGAGTGACTGAGAGACTGAGGCTAATTTTAACCATGTTCTAGTGAAGTTAGACATCTGAAACTTGGTATATAAATAAATATTGGCTTACAGAGTGCATAAAAAATCCAACTCTTGAGGTTACTCGACAAAGGGTTCGTTCTTCCCGCAGGTGAAATAGTGGGAAAGGAGATACAGCAACTCTCTTTGGATAGTAATGAGCTTAAAATTTGTTCCGAATATCATGTGTTCTCGTCTCGCCGTATCTGGCACTGAAAGACAGGGAGTTCGGCTAGCAGCAGAGGTATTTTCTTATACAGTTGAAAGGCCTTAAAGTTTCACTGCCCACAAAGCAAAGCCCAATCTGATTTTATTGATCCGGTGGACTCTTACTTAGATGTTTCAATTCATGAACGCCTGTTGATAAGGGGAACCCCATGCGTTGTGGATATGGCATGAAGACTACAGAACATAACGCCACTCTAGATCGTATGAATGATCTTTGTGAAGACATGAGAGCAAATGGGAAGAAATCTCTTCCATGTCAGAAAGGAATCCTTGTTTTTGTTGCATCCCGGAAGAAGCTGCCTTCCCATCTTCACGAGAGGTATTCCCAGTGCTGACATCGCGCCTGATTCAATATTTCCTAGGAAACATATTCAGTCAAATCAGAGCAGCATGCAGGTTTGATACATGCTCCACACTCATTTCAACCAATGTCAGAATAAGGTCCTTGCTTTTGAGCTCTGGCCAGAGTCTGCATCTATCAAGGCATTGTAGTGTTTAAGGCAATAATGCAAGTCTCATGATTGACATTCGATCGGACGAGTTGTCTTCGCACACAGTGGAAGAACGGAAGGACCAAGAAGTATGCCTAAAGGCGGAATGAAATGCGAAATCCTTTCGAGAATGTATACGAGCTTCTGACTTACCAGACAACATAGGGGAATTAAAGCAAGAGGATCAATCGTTAAAGCACGTGGCCGCATATGTCGCATTCAAACTTGCTGCAAAAGTTCCAAGTTTAGGCTCCTCTCCAGTTCATGATCCAGAGAGTGATTCCCGAATTCGAAGAAACTGTCGTGGTGGCTTGATGAAATCCTCCCCAACATGGCTTACAGATGCCACGATTTTGGAACAAGAATTTTCGGCACACCATGGAGATGATATCCGGAGCGGGAAAAACGTGATCAACGATTTAACATCTGAATTGCAGAAGAAGTACTCGAACATGCCCAAGGGAGCTATTTTCTAATTTATTCGAACAAGGACCTTCATCAGGATGAAGCATATGAAAGGGGAGAATGCGGCAAGGACCGCAAGAAAGGTAGAGAAGTGCCATGCTAAAAACTGGCGATATTCCTAGCATAGCGTCTAGAGGATGACGCAACCGCAACAACATTTCACTCTCGCCAATCCATCTATGCCCTTCCTGGATGACGTCACAACGGTATGATGCCTCCCTCTCTAATGAGGATGTCTGTCGGCGCAACCTCTATATTCTAGTTAGGGTTGAGTGCGACAGTTTCAAGATAGCCCTATAAAAAGTCATCCAGAGGAGTTGAGCCAGGAGGCCTGACCGGCCATTGGTATGCCCCACGAGGTCAGATCCTATTATTTGGGTACGTTCCATCTAGGTACTCACGCACTCCTCTTGCATAATGGGAGGTGCTCCATCTTGCTGGTTCATCGCATTTGTCTTCTGCCAGTA